TGCAGGGTCAAATTATGTTGGCCCTTTTCACCCTATCAACTACACTTGAATTATTCAGCTAATAAGTTATAAAGTGCCTTAAGTGAGAAAAATGGCAAAATTTGGCCCCGGTATACAGCAGTCAACTGTTGAGAGTGAATATACGTGTGTTTGCTTTGCTTCCTGCCCAGGGATGCTGTCTGATATGTTATTAAAGCACAGCAGATATCTTTACTTTGGCAGACACCCAGGAAGATGTTGTTAGAAATTGTAAAGATGTGTACAATGGATCGTTTAGTGTGGTTTAATACAAGTGAGTACATAAATACCAAAAAGTTGAATGAAAAGAATAGTATTGTAATCTTTTCTACAAAGATCTGGAAGTCTCTCACTAATATAATAGAAACGTCTGTAATATAATTTGCATTGCATTTTTTTATTACATATTTTCCCATCCATGCCATTTGTCCTTATCAGCATAAGCATTCTTGGCTCCTTTCCCTTCTTCTTCTTCTTTATCTAATATTTTACCGTAATGATTTATGTATATATCATTGATATCATAATATATATCATAGTCATAAAATCACAGAATGGCCTGGGTTGAAAAGGACCACAGTGATCATTCAGTTTCAACCCCCTGCTGTGTGCAGGGTCGCCAACCACCAAACCAAGCTGCCCAGAGCCACATCCAGCCTGGCCTTCAATGCCTCCAGGGATGGGGCATCCACAGCCTCCTTGGGCAACCTGGTCCAGTGTGTCACCACCCTCTGTGTGAAAAACTTCCTCCTAACATCTAACCTAAACCTCCCCTATCTCAGTTTAAAAACCATCTGCCCTTGTTATATATGTATATGCAAAAGCTTTAATGGCACACCTATGATTGGCAGTAAAAAATTCCCGAAGCAAAATGCAGTAAGTGCGATCACAGCATCTGTTGGCTCCCTTCCACATGCACAAACCTCTGAAGCTTTAACTCCGTTTTCATTCTGTCCTCATTTGGTTGATCCTTCTTCAGTGGAATCAATCTTTTTGTGTAGTTATGAGATGGATTAAAGTGAAGGGGTATATTTGAGGGGTGGATTATCTTCCTGGAACTGTCTGTTCCCATTCCCCCTTGCATCTGCCCATGCAGCCATTGATATTAAGCATGCCTTCTTCCCCCCCCCCTGCCCTCCCCCGGCCCCGCAGTTGCATTTGGCCGTGACTCTGCTTAGAGTTGATTAAAACAGCACACAGGAGCTTCATGTGACCATGTTGTCACTTAGGATTCATTTTTTCCCCCTCATTTCCTCTTGGACATTCCCAGGGGCTGTAGTTTACAAGCCTATTGCTCCCTCTAGAGCCCGTCAGTCCAGTGCAGGACTGTTCTGGGGGACATAAATCCCTCTCCCTGCCAGGTGTGAGCTCATGGTTCTCTTTGCTTCCAGACTCAGACAGATGTGATGCAGTTGAATGCAAAGTTCAGGTTGCTGTGTTGCAATGCAGCATGGGCACAGCAACTTCAGATGCCTGGGAACTGGAGGTTGATCTTTGCCTTTTGCTGGTTTGAGGAGCAGTATTGCTGAGCAGGTGTTGGTTGGCATTGTACTCTGCACTTGCTCTTAAGTTCTTACAGCTTTGCACAGCATCAAGGGATCTTGTAAGCAATTCTGTGAAGTAAGAAGCTGGGGGCAACTGATTTAATCTGACTTCAGTTGCGATTCTTGAAGGCACAGTTGATAGTCCAGTCCCTAACCAGCGCTTTGGCAATCTCTGGTCTCTCTTTCAAAAGTGAGTGTTGTATCTTAGCCAAAGCTGCTACTGTTTCCATTATTTTTTCTGAATGAGTACTGACTTTAATGCTCCTGCAAAATAAACATTACCAGGCAACTTTTCCCATCCTAAGACCCCTAAGTGGGAAGGCTCGATGGAAGCAGTGAGTCTTGTGCTCTTTCCTTATGCATGTGAGGGGATGTGTGATGTCTGTGAGGAGGATTTTCAGTGGCAGATCTCTGTCCCACATCAGGTGTTCTGTGGCTAATAATAGGTGCTGCCAGGGGAATTGTGGACAGCAGCAGTCTCTGAAAGGACTCTTGCACCCAGCAAGGCACAGCTTGGTGTGGACACTGCCTTTTAAGCATTCCACCAGAGACTCCCAGAATGATGGTGTAGGGTTTGGCTTAAACACATGAGGCATACATCATGGACCTGAACTAAGCTCTGTGTGATTTTCTGTAGTTTTATGGGACCAGAGGATCTCAGGTTTTGGTGTTAGTCAGTGAAGGGCTACATGCTAGCTTGCTGTCGCTGCTGGACCATAACCAAATTGTCATTGTGACTATTTGAAGCATCTGAGCCAGGCCAGCATTTCAGCTTAGATCTTCACTCAGGCTGTCTGACAGCCTTGGAGGCACCTGCTCCTTTATAGTTTATAGATGTACTGTCATCCCAAAGCAGGTACATCATAAAACATGCATTTCACTAACAATACCTACAATCTAAACCTACCTTTGTCAACCAGGCATACAAATGAATAATATAGAAGCTATGACTAAAAATGATAAAACCACTTAATAAAACTAAGTGTAAATGAAACAGAACCACCAGAGAAAAACACAGGCAGAATTATTGGTAAGCAGCAATGAGTGACACATAGGTTTATGGTTATATAGTCCTGTGGTTAACCAGTATGTGGTTAATGAATACTCTTCTGTCAACAAGAAGTAAGTTAAGCATCTTCCTGCTTTTGCCAGCTTGTATCACAACCTTAAACTGGTTCTGAGGTCTCATCTGCTCAGTAGAAGATCCTGAAATTAACTTCACTCCCCTCTTCTTATTCATTCTGGTCTCACAGACTGGTGATGTGGCCTCATTTTCCTGAAGTTAGTTATCTTAATATCTTCCTTTTCTGCATTTTTTCTATCTGGAAGCACCATGAGGGCCTTCAAAAAAAAAAAAATCAGTTAACTACATATTCTAGCAAAACAGTAGCAGCACGTTACCAACTGCATCAGCAGTTGTCAAAAAATAAAACTGGGATCAAGATGAAAACGCTACAGATTAGTAAAGGCAATAACATATATTTTGAAAGTCTTTTACAGCCTTGGTGATCTAGGTGTTGTATATAATAATACAGAGAATTTTTTTTTTTTGCTAGAAGGAAGATCTACAGGCACCTCTCTGATATGTGAGTGTAATTAGAGTTTTTTTCAGAAGAAAGCTTACTGAACTTTACTCCTGTTGCCTTACAGAAAAATCTGGTCTACAAGCGTAAAAATGTCAGCAAAGCTTTATCTTGTAATTTAGCATCTAGAAATAGCCAGGAGCATGGTGATCCTTGGTCTTGGTAGATGTAGAACCCAAGAGTTGAGGGCTAAGGGCCCTCAAACAGGGATTTAAAATTACTTTTGCTGCTGTTGTAGTTCTTTTGATTGAGGGAGTGCTTTCTAGTGAGGATGTGAAGGTGGGAAGATAGTGGCCTGCAGTCTGGGAGGGTTGTGTTTCAGCTTCTGTTTTCTCAGGGCTGTGATTCAGGATTATTGTCGGATTTAGTTGCAGCAGCCAAAGTGGTTAGCATCGCTGGCCACAGGCTTCCTGTTAGATCTTGGCCAAGACACTTTATCTCCCCACAGTTCCTCGTCTGTGAAGTGGGGAGAATACCTCTCTAATTCACCGGGCTGTGATGAGGACGGTTTCCAGTAACAGTTATATGTGTGTGTGCCCGCTGTAATGTTGATGCAGACCATTAGCACCAAAGTAGGAACTGCATTAAGAGAAGTATTGAATTGCAAGTAAATGGGCATAGGGAAGGGGTTGAATATGTTGCTGCTGGAGGCAGGCATTTGTACTTATATTTACATTTATACAGATAAACCAGGCAAATTGTAAAAATGGGAGGTCTTATAAGGGAAGAGGCTCAGCCTTCGGGGGGGCTGGAACCTAGCAGTGAAATGAAACAGGCAGAGCTGTATGTACCCGGAGGAAAAGAACCTCAATTTTCTTACAACAGTTCCTGGTAATCTAACTTAGGGTGATGGCCCTTATTGTCTCTGAGTGATAATGAAGATACCAGTATCTGAGACCTCCATAATGCTGAGATAAGGATGCCAAACCTGCCAACAGCCAATTTTTTTATCGCTGTCCAGGCCAAAGCCATGATAAATACAAACACGAGATCTTATCAAAGATAAAGAAAATTACTTTTGTTACTGAAAAAATGCCTGAAGTAGTACTGGCATTATCCAAAAACAAGTCCAGAGGTAGCAGGATTTGAATGCCTCATGGTCACAGGGGGATACAAAATCATCCCGCCTCCCCAGCAGCTGTCCAGATGGACTCTTTTCAGAACTCATAGCTGTGGCATGCGCACAACAGTTTTGAAAAGGCTTTCACAGTTTTCTTATTGAATAATAGAGAAACTGAGCGTAATGCTCTGCTATGTCTTCATAAGATGTTTTAATTCTCTGTGGACAGGCTGTAGGGATTTTTTAATTTTTTCCATTCCCTTGTTTCTTGGCATTGTAGGAGCAGATTATTTTTAAAGGATTCTGGTTCATAATATGGAATTGATCTAATACTAGCTTCAACCACAAAGCATGGAATCTTACGGCCTGCCTCAGGGACCTGAGTACCCAGTTCTCTTTAATTTTACAAGCATTTTTGATCAAATTCCCGTGGCAGTTTTGGAAGAGTCAACCACAATTTCTAAGCCTCTCTGAACTAACCGCCTTTAAAAAGTTCAGATAATGCACCAGTAGTCTAGTAGATCAGATAAACTGTAACTGTTAAGGGTAACCTCCTTATTTTGCAAACAAAGTGTAGAACATTTACATATAAATTGATTTTTTTTCCCAAATGCTTTGAGCAGTTGCCACAAAGGGAATGCATCCAGCAGCAGACAGTAGTGAGCCCATGCTGCTTCATATCTGTCTGCAGATACGGACAGCTAGTGGTTAGTGTCATTTGGTGTGTCCTGATTCTGTTTGAAAGGACAACCTGTTCTCAATACATATGTTCAGTAACCTTCTCTCCTTTTGCAGGGAAAAGCTTCACACTGACTATCACAGTCTTCACAAACCCTCCACAAGTAGCCACGTACCACAGAGCCATCAAGATAACAGTGGATGGACCACGCGAACCCAGAAGTAAGTGGACTAAAAAGAACATTTGCAGAAGGTCGTGTTGATTATTTAGCTCAGGCATTCCATCACCAGCTGTATGCAGTGCAACAGCACCCAGTGCATGTGGATCAGTGGGTGTGCCTCAAGCCAAGGCTGTCCTATGAGTGGTTTTAATTATGCCTTCCTGAAGGTTTATTTTTCATGGGTGTCCATTTGATCCAGAATATGAATTACTTTGCATTTATAAAGTATCTACCTAAGGATGGTTTGGATTGTACCCAAAAGCTGACAAAAGGCATGTTGGTAAAAGGTGGGCAGCATATACCTTATGCACATTTCTTGCTAGTCTCATCTTTCAGATGCTCAGAGGGTTTTAAAGTATTGGAAACCAATACGTCATTGATCTAAGTCTTCAAACTCGGCCACCCTGAAGAAATAAGTAAATGTCTGAGAGGCAACACCTGGTTTCTCCCTTGTAGAGTTCACTGTGCTTCATTCCACTGTACAACTTGGGAAAGCAGTAATCGCTGAGAGAGATGCTTCCAACAAGCAGATGCAATTACCCCAGTGGGACACCCCTTCTCACAGACAGGCAATGTTTCCTTTTTTTTTTCTTTTTTTTCTTTTTTAAGAATGAAGCTTAAGGAGAAGACGAATGATTTGATATCCCAGGGGAATATCCACACTGCTCACGCATGCGGTTGTTTTCGTTAGGTCAGAGGGGGAAGGTTGCTTTGTTTTGGGGGAAGTGAGGGTTGCACAGGTAGGCAGATGTAGGTGCTTCTCTGGCATATGCTCTGCCTGTCACCACAGGCAATCTTTAACCTCAGAATGTGGAATTTTCATATTTCTGTCAAAATGCCCTGATGTTAGTTGAGGTTTGTGGTTAGTTTTTCACTCCTTCTGCACACTTGGCAGAAGTTCTGGCTGTTGCTTAAGTGGAGTCATCCTGGGAGAAGAAAGCAGTAAGATTCAAACACCCACTAGGGAATGAGACATGCAGCTCGGGGCTACTTTAACTGAGTGGTGCAAAAGAAGAGTTTGAAACTTGAGTTTAAATAACTTAGAAAACTGCTGACTTTCATATGCATTTTTTTAATGGAGCCTTCATTTGCCTGAGTTGTGTCATGATGCTGCATGCATTGAATGGAAAAAATCTGACCTACGTGTATTTTTTAAATGCTGCCAGGATAATGCTTCTTCTTTAGTTGGTATTTGTGTTGGTTTTGGTTTTTTTTTCTTTAAACTTAAAGAATTGTCCCTGAAAAATATCCCTCGTGAACCAGTCACCAGGTTCACAGCTGTGCACATAAAATAGATATTTGTATATGCAGGTTCCAGGTTTGCATGTGTAATTACCTGGACGTGTTCACAGTTTGCATACAACAAATAAGCTTTGTTTTTTTAAATACGAGTCTGCTAGAATAGTGAGACACAAAATCATCCTGCAGGCATACCCTACTGTTTTAAATCAATTCTTCAGTTGGTATAGTAGTTAATATTTAATAAGATTCTACATTTTAAAAAGGAAGTAGAAATATAATATATACTGAAGCAATACTCGTATCTCCCCAACTCAAATGTATGTAAAAGCTTCCTTGTAAATGATTTCATTTTGTCATAGGCAACCCAGAAGTACAAAGGAGTTCCGTACTCAAGGAGGCTTTACATGTGCCATGAGCAGAGGTCAGCTCCTTGGCAGGAGTGCACAGCTCCTTTTATTGCTAAGTCACTCATGATGCAATGTGGACGGGATTCTGCTCCTTTTCACTTCTAAGTGGGCTGCAAGGTCCTGTGGGCTGACTCCACACCAGCTTAGGAACTGTGGCAGCTGTTGCAATCATAGAATCACAGAATGGTTTGGGTTGGAAGGGAGCTCAAAGCCTGCCCACCCCAACTCAGGCTGCCCAGGGCCCCATCCAACCTGGCCTTGAGCACCTCCAGGGATGGGGCACCACAGCTTCTCTGGGCAGCTGTGCCAGCGCCTCACCGTCCTCTGAGGAAAGGATTTCCTTCTAACATCTAACCTAAATTTCCCTTCTTTTAGTTTAAAGCCATTCCCTCTTGCCCTGTCACTGTCAGGCCATTTAAAAAGTTGCTCCCCCTCCTACTTATAAGCTCCCTTCAAGTACTGGAAGGACACGGGGAGGTCTGCCCGAAACCTTCTCTTTTCCAAGCTCAATATGGTCTCTGCTGTCTTTATTTATGTTTGACTGAAATAGTAATGTGGCTTAAAAGGATAAAGTGCTACAAAGGAGGGAAAAAGTGGTACCCAGACCTTTCTCCCTTCCTTGTTCCTCACGTTAGAACAACCCTGACCACAGCTCAATTTTCCCAACTGTCACCCATTCACCAGTTATTAGTAATTAAACTCAGAATTAATTCTCTCCAAATAGCCATTATGTCTCTGAGAGAGACCTGCTGTTTAGGGCTATACGTGGTTTTTTTATCCCTTCAGTGGGTGTATTCTGTTCTGCACTGCTTTGATTAGATCAAGGTACGTCTGTAGCACGTACCAAAATAGATAGCACGGCTGTTATCTGCACAGGATTTGAGGTTGAACGTATCAGTAGATGCATGCCATGTATTGAATGGATTTAAAATTATATCAGCCTTCTTGCATGCAGGCTAGAATCAAAATAAAACTGGGATAGAAACAGTTCATCACTGATCAATATTTGGGAACTTCCATGCCTACAAGGGGGAATGATTTTAAACTGAGACAGAGGAGGTTTAGGTTAGATGTTAGGAGGAAGTTTTTCACACAGAGGTGGTGAGGCACTGGAACAGGTTGCCCAAGGAGGCTGTGGATGCCCCATCCCTGGAGGCATTCAAGGCCAGGCTGATGTGGCTCTGGGCAGCCTGGTTTGGTGGTTGGTGACCATGCATGTAGCAGGGGGTTGAAACTATGATCATTGTGGTCCTTTTCAACCCAGGCCATTCTGTGATTCTGTGATTCTATGATTCTGTGATTCTGTGATTCTATGATACAGATCCATGACTCAGTCTCTCACCTGAGCTGCAGGAATTCCAGAAATACTGACTTGTGTTTTCTAACATACCCTGATTCAGAAGAAATGTGGGAGAGAGAACAGTAGGAACAAAATTAGATACTGCTGTCTTGCAGACCTCTGGAAAAACCATGCTTACTTCCACAGCCAACTGTAGTAATAAACATTGATTCATTTACTTTATGTTTGTAGTGGTTGCAGATAGGCTGGATTCTAATGAGCATGGCCTATAAAAAATACTGGTAGATAAGATGCCATTTTTGAGATAAGGGCTAGAGCTTTGTAACAGAACAATTTTCAGTGAAATTAATAGGTTGTAGAAAAAAAAATAATAATTAAAAAAGAACGCCAAACCTTTAGACAGATTAACTTCAGAAATAATAGAAACACGTTCTTTTGTCATTAGAGAATGACAGAATAAGAACAATTTCTAAGCCAGAATCAAAAGGGTTCTAAAATTATTATTATTTTTTTTAATGATAAAGGACAGCTCCTTAAGCAATGCATGTTTGGGAGAAACTTCAGAAAGTAATGCAAAGCAGCATTTGAAGCTGTTCTTGGCAAGTAGAAAAATGCTCAGACCAAGGGCTCTGAAGGCAAGCATACAAAGCATAGACTTTTTGGCTCACTCTGATGTGTGGAGATGTCACAATAGGCAACTATAGCACAATGTGTATCTTTTGTACATGCACACCACCCCTCTCTGAAGCAAGTCCTGTCTTTGGTTTTCAGACTGTGGATTCTTGCATGTCATGCCATACATTTGGTCACAGTGTACAGTCTACGGGCAGCTCTTTGCCCATCAGCCTATTTGCATATATAACTATAATGTTTGTATTTACAACTGTGGTAATTACTTGTGTGAGTTGCTTATAGCATTGCCTTTTTTTTTTTTTTTCCACTGAATTTCTGACTGTGCCTATCCAGATGATTCTTCTCATCAAATTTTCAGGGTTTGTAGAGAGAGCCAAGGTACTTAAGAATCTGGCTCTTCCTCTGCTGTCTTTGTTATGTATTTTGAAAAATCTCTTTTAAACTTAGTATTTTCATTCTCCAGCTTTTCAGAAAAGCTTGTTTTCTTTCTTTCTTTCTTTCTTTTTATAAAAAGAAATAATACTGCACCGTCAGAGAGAAGGGCAAGATGACCTAACCCATCATTTTCTTCTCCAACTTCTATGATTCTATGATTCATAAAGCAATTTATGTTTTTATGAGCTAAGTCCATGGGGAAAATCATTAGCAGTAACCAGATCAAGAGTAGTGCTCCTGATGAAAATACTTTTGGTTAGGAAACTTGGTAGAAATAGTATGACTCTAAAATTAAATATTTCCCTTAGGCCATTTGACCTACTGTGTATGTCTGCTCAAAAATTAGGTTTTTCTTCTTTTGACTGTTTCTTTCTGTTTTTCTCATTGAATTGTTTTAACCTACATAGCTCTGAAAAATTCGCTAATGGACCAGGTGCCTGAAGACTGTGCAAAATGAAAGGGCTGCACAGATTTCTTCCCAGCAGCCCTGAGCTGTCCAAGGTTAAGCTGTGCATTAAATGTTATTATCCCATATTGGATATGTGGTTTTCCCAAATACTTTTTTGGCATCCTTGTATCAAAGGGCAGGATACTGTGAAGCAGACAGGGAATAATATTGCTAAGCAGGGTTGGAGAAGGAGCTTTAAAGGCTGCTGGCTGAAGAAATGCCTTTCGAGGGACAGTTGCTGACTGGCAGAGCTAGCCATGGGGATGCACAGCTTTGGTCTGCTGCAGTCGAGGGCACCCTCAGACCTTGATCTGGACTGGTCCTGACTCGCTTGTGAAGTTTGAAGTGAAGCTCCTGGCCTGGATCTGCTCAGAAGGAGCATCTTCACCTTCAGCCTCTTCCTGCAAGGAAAAGCCAAGCAGTTTTCCAAACCTTTGTCATCTCAGTGATTTGAAATAATATGAAATGCCTTCATTTTTTGCTTGTTTGCTGCTGCAAGTGCCTCCATCTGCTGAAAACTGAGACTAATGTGTACC